TGCTAAGCGAATGTCTGCAAAAGAGGTCACCATTAACGTTACAGACAGCATCCGACAGATGGACAGAAGTCGAAGAATCACAAAGAACTTCATCAACTAGTGGAGTGTTCAAATAGAAAGGCTTCTTTGGAGCCCTTCGTGGTACTGGAACCTTGAAGTGGGCACCCCATGCTGAATGTGAACACTGCCGAGTGCCTTGAGAGACAGTCTTACCCAGCAGCAAACAGCTCCCGGAGCTGTTGGGACCTTCTCAGCCTCCCACTTACCACGCAGGTGTATTGGTGCAGTGCTCGCATATAGCGTAAAATGCAAATGTGCAGTTCAGTTCGCCTCTTTGCAACTCCTGTAATAGGGTATGGGGTAAAAGTGGTGAGCTAAAGCCACAGGCCAGCTTAAGAAACAGAGAAAAGCAGAAGGAGTGGATTTCCAGGGTGAAAGATTCACACGGCAGTGCTAAGCTCTCCTGGCCATGATCGTGTGTAGTGTTTCAGACAAGCTTATTCCTATGTTTTTTCTTTTTAAATACCACCATCAAAAAACCGACCATGTTCACTTAAAACTGGCTTCACCCAACTATAAACCCAGATAAATCAAGAAACAGGAGCACTCCCTGGTATTCTTGTTTCCTTAGTTCTGTATGAGACAGATTAGATCCAGTTTCACACACACTAACTCCACCAATGCCCACAGTGTGTCTTTGGGAGGTCTCTGTGATGCAGTCATATCCATTTCTCATCCATCTGGAAAGCCCTCATAGGCTGGTGTCCATGTCAGCCTCCAAACCATAATGTCATGATCCTTGTGGCCAGTGCATCTAACCTGGGATGCCTTTCAGGGCTCAGCGAGACATTGCATTTTTTCACAGCTTTCTGGTTCCCTTTGCTAGTCTTTTTGAGTGTTTTCTCTCTGTGTTAGCGTAGTTTGCAATTGCTAATCAAAAACTGGACACTGCTCACAGAGGGAGATAATCCAGGAACATGTGGCAGCACACACGGCTTCCCTTTTGTCTCTCTCTGCACAGGAGCCCCAGGAGTCTGCCATTTTGGTATCTGCTAAGGAATCACTTTCAAAAGCCAGTGTTGACATTAGACTGATGTGCACTGCATTAGAAATCAAGTAGCTGACACAGAAAATTGATGTTTTGACAGGAATAATTTTCTAGCATTTCTTTAAGCATGTTCAGCTAGAAGTATTTTCCTCCAAACTAATGCAGCATGATTTTTAAAGGAATATTAACATGCCTGGGATTAGAAAAGGTAGGACTGGGCCGGCCTGGTGGCGCACTCGGTAGAGTGCGGCGCTTGGGAGTGCGGCGGCGCTCCCACTCAGGGTTTGGATCCCATATAGAGACCAGTCTGCTCACTGGTTGAGCATGGTGTGGGCGCAACACCGAGGGTTGCGATCCCGTTGCCGGTCGTGGTACGGGCGCAACACCAAGGGTTGCGATCCCGTTACCGGTCACAAAAAAAGACAAAAAGGAAAAAAAAAAAAAAGAAAAGGTAGGACTAAGGTTGTACCAAACTATACCAATAAACTCCATATTTAGCAGAAATAGGCAGCCTGATGGTCTGTTTATATAACATAGTCCAGAGAACTGACATGCAGGTTAAAGGTTAGATATTCAACCTCCTTATCTCCTAACTCTGTTATTCCTCAAACACAAGAAGGTAGTGTCATTTATTCATTCTTTCTTTCTTTTTTCATTGGTAGATTGTAGTTTTACTCATTAAACATTAAATGCCAACCGTGTCCAAGTACTCTGCAGATGTTGAGGGATTTGGAGTCTGTGTATATCCTGAATCTAACAATGACTTAATAAATAGGAGACTGAGGTAGACTCTAAGGTATAGAATGTGTTGTGAATTGCTGTGCAATGGAATCTTACTTTTATATTCAGAACAGATTTGTGTCTTAAACTGGGTGTTCTCCTAATCATTGTACAAGACTTTATCATACACACAACTACAGTTTTCCTAAATCTCTATCATTTTGTGACTCCTTGAGAAAGGGCTTTTAGGGAACTTCATGTTCTGAAAAAAATTTTTAATTATAATAAAATAAAATAAAAGCAAAACCTGTGACTCATATGTCCCCACTGGCATTACTCAGCAGGAGCCCCAACTGCCAAAGGTTGGCAATGATCCTACAAGTTCAAGGGCTCTTTCTCCCAGGGCATGTGCATTGTGTTTTTGTGTGAGGTGTTCCTGCACCAGTTACTGTGCTGTCGGCCACAGCTAAGTCTAGCTTCTCTTTACAACTTTTCTTTGCATCTGTTCACTGCTGCATGCTTTTTGGAATGTATCACTTCGAGAAGAGGGTGTCTCTGTTTTCTATAGAAACATTTTCTCACTTCTGGGGAAGAAGAGAATGAAGGGCATATGATATGGACTGCCCTGGAACAATCTGGACTTCACTGAGTGAAACCAGAAGTTAAACCATGTAACTGAAAATTCATGTGGCAATTTTTTTATGTGTATGAGATAGAAACTGATCCTTACTATTCTATTAGGATAACACTTTCCATTGCAAAGTTTGTGTCAATAAATTCATTAATTTCAAACATATATGCACAGTTACAGAATATCTTTACTGGAACCTTAAACTTGTATGTAGACTTTTTTTTTTTTTAAACAAAGGCCTTTTACTTAAATGATCCCATGAATCCTCCAGAAAGCCTTGTGAAGTAGGTAAGGAGAACACTATTAGCTCCAATTTACACTTTAAAAAGTATTTATAGTCCACTCAATTAGTAAGTGGTGGTGCAGGAATCCAGGTGGGGAAGTCTGCCTGCAAATCCTGTGCTGCTTCTACCATAACATGGTGCCTCCTATGGCAAGAAGGTCTAGCATGGCCAGGAGACTTGGCCATTTAGAGGGGAATGTCACTGAGCCTGAGACTAGGCCAACCCAAGTCTAATAGGGTGACTTGGATAATTGGACAGGACTAGAGAGAAAGGATTGGAGACGCCTGTAGAGAGGAAAGTGATTAGAAAGGGCCAGTGGGCTCTCAGGGAGGAAATTAGAAAGAAAACTAACTTGTTTACTGAAGCCAAAATAGAAAAATGTTTCAAGAAGGAGAAGTGGTCCATCATGGTGAATGCTGCCAAAGGTTAAATAATGTGACTACAAGCAGTACCATGAAGGTTACTGGTGACCTTGCCCAGAACAATTCCAGTGAAGGCCAGACTGGAGCGGCTGATGAACGGAGGGTGGCGAGGAAGTGGAGAGAATGAAACAGCTCTCTTTTGAGAAAATTTGCTATGAAGCAAAACAAAAAGAGGCCAAAAGGTGGGAAAAGATGAAGGGTCAAGGAGAAGTTGTAAAAAGTGGGACATACTAGAGTGTACCTCTCAACTATTGCAATAATTCTGCAGAGAATGAGAGGTTGATGCTGGAAGGGTGAGAGAACTATCCACAGAGAAAAAATGTCCTTGAGAAGGTGAGAAGAGGGCAGATCCAGGGCACAGGTCATTATATCATAATTTTAAACTTCCATATGGCAAAAATTCACATTAAGTTTAGACAAGTGATAGTCTATAAGACAATATCTATAGCACGTATATCAGTGAGTTAGTATCATGATACACCTTTTTTAATAAGAAAAAGGACCCCAGAGAAAATAGAGAAAAGAATATGAACAGGCAGAAGGAAACCTGAATGGCCAATGCAAATATATAAAAGATCCTGTTTCACCCGTAATTAGGCAAATACACATTAAGATAAAGAGATGCCACTTTTTCACCTGTTTGATAAGCACAATTCTTTAAAAATCGATAATATCAGTGTTGGGAGGGTGTGGAAAAGATGTAATCTCAGACATTGCTCGTTGAAATGAAAATTAGTGATAATACTTAGAATGGCATAGGGAAAGCAAAATTTTTCGCAGCTGGACCTGAGAATTAAACTGACATAAGACAGATGAACAGAAGAAAAGCACACAGATTTATTTAATGTAAGTTTTCTGTGACATGGGAGCCCTCATAAAGAAATGAAGACTCAGAGAAATAGTGAGATCTAAATGCTTTTACACTAGACTGAACAGAGAGGCAAATGTGAAAATGTAACTAAAGCTAAAGGAAGATGAGTTATTTTAACAAGGTTTGTTTGTAAAGAATTCCGTTGGCCTCAACTCTCACTTTGGTGATAAGAATGTCTCTTTCCTCCTGGTGTAAGGAGGAGATTGTTGTTGTTGTTGTGGTTGGGGGTGGCTGGCCAGTACAGGGATGGAACTCTGGACCTTGGGGTTATCAGCACCGTGCTCTAACCAACTGAGATAACCAGCCAGCCCCTAGGAGGATATTTTTTATGTGGGAGTTTTATCTTTCACTTTCAGGAAGAAAAGGGGATGTCAGAACATTCTTCTTGTACTTTCTGTTTTTAAAGTGCCTTCAGCTCAAAATAATCCTTATGCCAACGTGGCATATTTTGGGGTGGCACATCCTGCCTCTCTTCAACAGCAATTTAGCCAATTTATTAAAATTTAAAATATTCACATTCCTTGACTGAACAATTCTATTTAAAATATGTACTGTTGTGGGCTGAATTGTTTCCCTCCACCCCCAAATTCATATGTTGAACTCCTAACCCCCAGTACCTCAGCATGTGACTGTATTTGGAGATAGAATCTTTAATGGGGTAATTAAGTTAAAATGAGGTTATTAGGGTGGACCCTAATCCAATATGACTGGTATCCTTATAAGAAGAGGAAATTAGGACACAAACACACAGAAGGAAAACCATGTGGAGACACAAGGAGTAAACAGTCCAAAGAGAGGCGCCTCAGAAGAAACCAACCCTGCTGACACCTTGATCTCAGACTTCCAGCCTCCAAGACAACCAGTCTGTGGTGCTTTGTTATGGCAGCCCTAGCAAACTAATGCAATAGTCTAGAGAAATGCTCACACGTTTTTATAAAGCAGGTATTTGCAGGACAGTACTCAGACTTTTAGATCTTGGCTTCAAAGAAGTCAGAATGCAGAGGACAGAAGAACACAGTACTGCAGCGACCCTGCATCCACTTACCCCACCACCACCACCCCTCAGTGCACCCATGCAGACTTCCAACTGCGGCACCTGCTCTCCCCGGCCTGAGGGCTTTCTCCTGCCACTTGCATGGTAGGAGTTGCCAGGGCACTGGCGCCGTTGATGCTTACTCAGTCCCTTCTGCATCCCAGTATCCTCAGTTAGTGGGCAGCTCCTTCAACCCTGGGTGGGTTAACACTGAGATATGTGTTTTATACAAGCTCCTAGAGTTTCCCCAGCTGTATTAAGGTCCAGTTATCCAGCAAGT